AAGTTTTCACTTCCAGGATGTGTGTTTACTTTTCATCCATAAAGGCACAAACTGGCTGCAGACAGGATTTACATCAAACCTCCAGAATGTGATGATACTCCTTAAGTTAAACATTAAACATGTGCTCCTACCTGTTATTGCTCACGTTTGGGTGTGGGGACAATCATGTCATCGCCACACTGCTTTCTAAACCGAGCCATTTCACTGGCTCACCCTCCAGCTCCACCTTCCCTCCACACCGCTCATCTCCACATCACCACCCCCCTGTAAGTATCCCCGTTGCAGGGGGAACGCAGAAATCTAACCTGCTTGCTAAGCGACTGAATTATTCTCCACTTGAATACAGAAAGAAGCTGTTTTAAGTCCCATGAAAATATTCCTCTGGCTGTTTATTGGGTGTAATTTGTAACAAAAAGCACTATTTTGCCACTTGTCATTAAGGTGAGGTTCAGGGGTCTGGCCTGCAGTAGGAGCATGGCAGCTATTGCTGATGAAATGCATGCTGCGTGATGAACAACTTCCCTTTCCTGCCGCTCTGCAGCTGTAGCAGGGCCCGCAGCTCCTCAGGGCTGTAAATCAGAGCCTTTGTACTCCAGAAGGATCCTATCAGCCACAGGTGTGGGCTCTGCCTGGGGAGTAACAGCCCAGTGCTGGAAATACTAAAAACTGGAGAGCAGCAACGAACCTCAGCCAAACACAGGAGGAGAGGTGGATAGTGAGACAAATGAGGCAAAATCCAAAAGAAGAAAGTGCCAAGTATGTCAGGCAGACTGGTGTTTCAGTTACACAAACAGTTCTCAGAGGCAGAGCTACTCAGGAGACACTGAGGCAAACATCAGTGTGTGGAACGAATCAACCACAGTTTCTCTCTAAAAGGTGTGGTCAGTGGTTGTCAGTACATGACTGATGTTTTCTGATTCACTCTGGTTAAGGCTTGGTGAGGTTTAGGTAAAACTGCTAAAACTACTTCAGAAAGATCACGGTCATGGTTCAGATCATTGTCATTGCCAGACAGCTTTTCTATTTGAATGAATGCAAACATGATACACATAGTGGTGCTGTCAGACAGTGGTTACAGTGATTTCAACAGCCTTCGGCTACTTAAAGTCTGCGCATTATGCTTTTGGGGTTTTTTTACCTTGCAGTTATTGTGTTATATGTATTTTTACGCCTCTGTGCTGGCGATAGCCTCTTCACATTTGGTACAAACATCCATTAGGACTTATGAACTGATTAAATTTTGGTAGTCAAAGGTCAAAGGTCAAAGGTCAAGGTCGCAGTGACCTCACAAAAAGCGGTTTTGGCCTTGGCTGTTGTAATCCAGGCTTCTGTTCTGTAACTCATCTACGTCACTGTGTAACACATTGATATAATGACCTGAAACAAAGCTAATCAGAGTGGAGGCCAGGAAGAGTCGGGTTAGTTTTAGCCTATTCCTATTCTATTCCATGCTGCAGGTTTACTTTACAGGTGTTTGGTGACAGAAGAATAATATTTTACTAGCAGCTTTGTTGTGCCCTGACAGCAGCAGTCGGCATTTAGGCACATTTCCCACACATATAATTACTAATGGGAAAATATATAAAACCTTTTAAATCCAGATTTTAACTGAAAGACTAACTCTACCGTGATGCGACACAATAATTACCAGAGACATTGTGCTGTGATCTTTGCTGCTGTCCACTCTCAGATTCAGGATCAGATTCAGCCTCTAACAGATGGATTTGAGAAGATGCCATTTCCAGTCAATTCTGTTACTTAGTTTGAGTTACTAGTTACTTAGTTTCGTTACTCGTTAGTTAGTGTCACAGTTTGTTTTCAGAACCTCCACACCAGGAAGAGTGTTGAATGCTGCCCCTCAGCAGGCCTCTGGAAATTTGGCCAATCAGAAGAGAGTGGGCTTTTAAGGATCCCTGAGCTAATGCTGCCTGTTTCAGTCAGAGGCTCATGGGGCTGCATAACAGGCAATGAGAGATAAATAAGGACTTTTATTGAGCTGTGAATCATGCAGTCTCTTGTGGAGTCCCAGAATAAAAATATGGAGCAGGAAATGAGCATAAAAAGCAGAACAGATAAAAAATGAAAAGTTGTTTTTTTTTTTTTAAAGTTTATCTCTCCAGTTAAGTTTACGTAATTTTTTCTATCAAAGTCTTTGGTGTCAGTATGTTAAAGTAATTAAATGTTGGACTTAATTCCTGTTTAAACCTCAATCTGAACAACACAACAACACAAATCCATCATGTCCTTTTAATTTAGATGAATGGAGTGAAAATTATGATGAGAGCACAGAGATTATCCTGGAGATCATCATTAATTCAACAAAGTATAGAGCTTCAGTCTCTTGGTAAGAGGTGAAATGTGGCAGCTGTGGGGAACAGAGACAAACAACATCATCTGTCTGTGAACACCAAAATCCCTCACAGCATCACTGGGAAGAGGTCAGTGACCAGGAGCCAGTGGACGTCCAGAGAAAGATCAAGGTCGATGTTCACATCTGACACCAGAGACCAGAGCTGTCTCTCAGTCTGCGTTCTTCTCTGTTCTTGTGAGACGTCATCAGTCTCAGCCCATGTACTGTTCCAATTCAAACTCCGCATCCAGCCAAGTACAGATCAAAGATCCGGAAGTGTTCTCACTGCATCGGTTTCATTGAGGATGCATCGATACGTGACTTGTGTGGACTTGGGATAGCTAAGTATCCCAGAATGCATTTCACACCAAATAGCAACAACGGCAGAGATTCTGAGCCAGGCTCCAAGCTAAAACAATTTTTTCACCCTAGAACTGTTATTATATCACTCACGTAAGTTTGTGACAAACCGGCATGAGCCGAAGTCTCAGCTCCACACAGGCCCCACCAATTGACCAATTTTTGGATTACCTAGGAGTTAGGGGCGGAGTCAGACACTGCCAAGATGGCAATGGTAGGGCAGCTCACTCTGAGCTTCAACACCACTCTTCAGAAACCTGAGGGTGACATCACGTCTTTATTTACAGTCTATGATATGGACCTTGAGGTGATGTTGAATGATGAAATACATGAGCAGTTTGTAGAATGGAAGCTTTGACAAACAACCTGTTTTATTGCTGGTGTTTTGTTCATGAAGACCCATGCCTCCATCCCCCTTAACCCCACACATCCACACAAACACAGCAGATTCAGTGTTGACCCCTCACTTGTTTAAATCAATTTTAATATGTTGGTTTATGGTGTGGAGGTTGCTATATAACCTGATACCACAGAAGCAACATGAACTGCAGAGCTTTCTACCTCAGAGGTTTAATGCTGGATTGCATTTTGTTGTAATGTAAAATAAAAAGTTATTGGCAGAAACATTCTTTAGCTTTCCATTTGCCAAGTCAGTGAAGAAAACAACCCCACCCATTGAAGTTTAACTAAGTCATTATATCTGCCACCAGAGCAGCCCGGACACCCACAAACGTTGTAGAACTTTAACTTGAATCTACATACCAAATGGTGAGGGGAGAGTCTGAGGCAAGGTGGGGGTTATGAGGACTGTGTGTAGACATGCCTGCTTTCTGGACACCAGCGAGGGGAAAATTCACAGATGAAATGTGGCACAGGCCCAGGGAATGCAATTTCAAGCTTCCACATCTGCAGGAAAGATGAAACCAGGTTCCTAATTTTACAATGATGATGTCAGTGAGAATACATGACAGCATTGGGTCAGGGTGCCAAGTCCTGCTCCTCATGTTTTCTCCCCCTATTTTCCTTTTTTTCAATATATTTATTTATGTATTTCACCAGGAGTGGTTGCTGGGGAGGTATTACAAGACACAGGATTTTCTCTCTCATGAGGGAAAACAGGAGCAATAATGAAAGACAGGATGAACTGCAATTTGTAAATCTTGAAACTCTCTACATTTGAATAAAAGTAATAGTAAGTAAAAGTAAGAAATGTGTAAAATGTCCTTGTTTGTTTTAACCAAGCATCAACCTCAACCTCAGAACCAAAACCTGCAGTTCCTCTAATGACCACTAGAGTCTGGCTCCAACAGTGAGTCAGTCCCCATAGACTCCCATGTTAAAATGTCCAACTTTACAGCAGAAATAAACATGTTTACAGCCTGGTACAAAAAACAGTTTTGGTCTCTAACGCTAATTTCCTCTTTCATGACAACTGTTTATATAACTCACCTGTTCACATTTCAGCTCTTTCAGCTTTTCAGCTCTTCAGAAACCTGTGGGTGACGTCATAGAGGCTCAATCCATCTATGGTTTTAACATATGCACAAAAATAATCACCAATCACCAAACAGTACAGTTTTTTCTCCAGCACCCTCTATATTGATGTTGTGGTGGTGAGTTTTTGGTACCACTGATAATGTCAGTACTGTAATGTGATCTGTGTTCTGAAAACTCACCTATCTCTGAGAGCTTAAGCAAGCTCTTCATTATCTATCACCACATATGGATCCAAGACAGAGAAACAGCTGACACTACCTAGTCTTTTACAAAGTCTTTGTGGATCACTCTCATGAGGTTGTAAAGGGTTTGACATGTTTAGATGAACAGGCATGACAGTCGCAGTCTGACGAATAATTACAGAGTCAAACCACAAAATAATAAAATATACAACACAAATGAACAAATAGTCCGTTTCAGTTTTCCCCACAACCCTAAATCAGTTTAGTTTAGTTCAATCAAGTTTCAAAGTAAAGAGTCAACTTGATGAGGGTTTTATTAGATTGACTTTATTGAAAATTATACAGTGTAGCAAATTATGAACTAGAAATTACATGTGATAAAAACTATTATCCTTGTTTCAATGTGTATATCAGTACAGTTTCCATACAGCCTTCCGACATGCAAACTGTAAAATTCCAACCTTTTATGTACAAACACATTTAGCGATTCCCACTGGAACCTGAGAGGATATCACTTATTCCTCTTTATACCAGAGGTTTTATCAAAATATTTCTGTAGGAGCCAAAATATGTTTTTGTTTTTTTATGTTTATATTTGCTTGGATTTGGACAAAGGGAGTTGGTAGAGCTCCGATATATTTTCTGGAACAGCTGCTTGTCAGTCCTTTTTGATTTTTTGATTCAATAAACTTCAGTAAAACGTCATTTGGATTTCAGTATGATTTTGTGGATGTGTCACAGACAAAAGCCTACTAAGTCTCCCAGCGGCCTTTTGGAAAAGTAGTCGCTACAATTTCTGTTATTTTCAATATCCAGGACCTTATTGGAGACACATATCCCATCCCACATGTGCTCTATTCCAATGAACATACTGAAAATGTTTATCCTTTGTTTTATTACACTTCAAATGGATTAGGATTTCAACAATCACGAAATGACCTGCTCATAACACCCTAAAGTCAAGTCCTTAATCCTTTTAAAATCAAACTTCACTTCCAGTCACTGGGTTGAGACTCTTGAACTGGGACACCGAGGTGCTCCTTAAGGCTTGAGGACAGCATTACAAAGCTGGTGGTGATGTCTCCCCTTAGAAACATTTCCATCAGCGGAGTGTCTGAATTCCACCCTCGGTTTTTGGCAAACTTGTAAACACATCCAAAGAGATCAGGAAATATCGTCATCACATCAACTTGGGCTGCATCCTTAGCACTGCAAACAAAAAGGGACATTTTATAATTGGCTCTATTAGCTTAAGTAGTGGTTCTCAAACTTTTTCACATTAAGCACCACTGAACTGACACAAATTAGACTACAGATTCCCAAATCTATTTATCTTAAAAGGCGTTTGAGCCCTGGAACCCCCTCAAGGACTCCTGGGGGTCCCCAGACCCCACTTAGAGAACCATTGAGCTAATGTACTTGTAAAATAAAAAAAGAAAAAAGAAAAAAAGAAGAGCAATCTTGTTAAGATTGTGAGATGCGGGGCGTCGTGTAGCGTAGTGGTTTAAGCAGGCGCCCCATGTGTAGAGGCTACAGTCCTCGCTGCAGTCGGCCCCGGTTCGAATCCCGCATCGGATCACTGCATGTCATTCCCCCTCTCTTGCCTCCCCATTTCCTGTCCACTCTCCACTGTGCTGTCCATTAAAGGCATAAAAGCCAAAAAAATAAAATACTTTAAAAAAAAAAAAGATTGTGAGATGCACGGAAAGATTTAGCGCAAACTATTAAATAGACTTTGTTGTCAGATTCGTTTGACAAATTTAGAATCAAATTCAGTGCCATGATTTTCTTTTTGATTGTCTTCATTTAACTATAAAAAAAAATCCCATACTCTACTTTGTCAGGAAGGCTTTGTTATCTGAACAAGCAAACAGTGTAATGTAATCTTATGTGAAAAAATAGTATGTACACTATTCTTAATACTTATGTGTCTTAAAGCTGAACCACACAACTTCTGTAAAAAAAAAAAAAAAGAAATTCAAGTGTATAGTTATTGCTTCTGTCTAGTGATATTTTAAGGCCTTGCATCATGTTTTGGTTTCACTCACTAATGCTCATGGAGGTTTCGTATGAAGCGCAGTAATCCCAAAGTGTTTTCATTGTAGGCTTTCTTCTTGCCATCCATCTTCCGGACCAACTCTGGTGGAAACTGCAAGACCACAGAAGTTAGACCTGAAGTTGTATTTAGGAACACAGATGTTATATTAGTTTTTCTCACCTTATTTTTCCACAGTTTGAAAGATCCATCCCCAGCCCATTCTTCCAGTGAACAAATCAGTTCCTGGTCGGCATTTCGATAGTTTGCCACCTCCTCCCTGTTACCAATCCTTCGCAAGTAATCTACTTTCCTGAAAAAAAAAAAGTTTAAGTAAGCCAATATAAATTGCAACAAAAAAAATCTCATGATACTACAAAATAGTGTTCAAAATGGAAACTGGTCTTTTACTAAACCCCTCCTCCAAATAGCAGTTGTCCAATTATTTAGCAGCCCTAAACAGGTATGACCGGCCCAGGCTCAGAACCAGGCAGAGTTCAGGGTTCAAATCTCTTAGAAAAGGAGGAATTATCGTTCAAAAAATAAATAAAGTTAGTTTAAAAAAAAATCCCAATTCCATCAAGGTCGAGGAGAAGTGGTTAGAAAGGAGATTATTTTGACTTTTCGACCGCAGCCTGAACACACTAGGAGGGGAGAGAGGGAAAGACACGCAGGTGAAGCCAATCAGTGTGGGGCAGACAATCACAGCAGCAGGAAACACACAGGGGCAGCAAGTAAGAGGGATCTGCACTGAGAGGACATGTGAGCGACCAAATGAAACAGGAAATAATGAAAATATATGAAACCACCTTAAAGCACAGAGTTGGGCATAACAGAGAATAGCCTTACTCAGCAGTTTATCGTGTGATTCACTCCATGGCTTATGCCTCACGTTAGTTCAGACATGTCTGTAATAACAGCACTCATGGTCCTCAGAGGATGGATCCTACTGCTTTTGGTATTTCCCTAAGGTAGCATCCTTGAGGATGCGCTAAATATGGTAAACATTATGCCGAACATCAGCATTAGTGCTAGCAGGCTCACATGTTCCTGTTCAGCATGCGAGCCTGCTGAATTTAGCACAACGTACCACCGAATATAGCCTTACAAAGCAGCTAACATGACTGTCCACTCTTAAGGCTCTGTTTTAACGGTCCAAAGCACATGGTCTGAAGCACGTGGTGCGAGTGCATTTAGGGCGTGTCCATGTATTTTTTGTTATTTTTACTGCAGAAAAATCTGTTGCTTCTCCAGGCACACAGCTCAAAAGGGTTGTCCCAATTGTTTATGGGAGTGTTTTGGGCGTAACATCCAATAAAACAATCACAGTGCATCTCCCATTCCCTTTTAAAGCCAGGCATGCTGCACCTTGGCATATTGCTCTTTTAATGGTGCAGTGTTCCACACAGTTTCACATACATGTTGTGACTGGCCAGTGAGCCCAGTCCTGACCAGCAGCGCCAGCCTGTGGCATAGGCTGTCATCCACAGAGGGCGTCGCAAATGTGGGAAGAAAAAATAAATAAAATGTTTAACTTTTACTATTTACTTATAACAACTAATATTTCAAAATGTGTGCATGATGCAGCTACATTATACATATTACATATGCAGTTAATATTTTCTGCAAAGAAGGTCTGAGTGAATCAACGCTCTGCCACAGCTCTACAGTAAAGTAATGGCAAAATTCACAATGTTAGAAATTTTTGATGTTACATGATGAGAAGTGTCAACAGTCTTCAAACTTGGGCGCTGGACGGAAGAATGACAACTACATCGGTCTGAAACTAGCAAAGACACTTGCGTTGCACTTTGCATTGCGCCGCTCTGCGCCGGGTGAAAGATAGGGCCCTTAGACACCACTGCTCTAGATTTTTTGTGTCTAAAATAGGTGGCTATTGTAGCAGGCTTCAACTCGCCTTTGAATGTGTAACATATGTTGTATGAGAACCATGAATGTTTGTATCACATTTTGTGCCATTCAGTCGAATAAATGAGTGAGTTATTTCGCTCTGGACCATCCTACTGAAAAAAAATCAATTGACAAGGATTTTAACTGGAATCAATTTATCAGTCCATCAGTATTTCTTCCTCACCTTTCCTTGGTCCAGAAGAAGGGATGAATCAAGCATTGTTCCACTTCAGGTCTTTTCTTTGGTTCTTCATGGATCATCCACTCGATGAGATCCTTTGCCACCATGTCTTGAACGCGTTCCAAATTGTACTTCCCTTCATGAATGTTGTACTCATACTCATAGGGTTTATCACCGAACGGATGGTGTCCTCCAGAGAGGATGTAATAAATCAGCATCCCTGCCACCTAAAGAGTTTACAGGACATATTAGCAATTGGGGAAGTATTTTTCACCTAGTCATCAATAAAGTTTGTGTAGCTGAAAAACTGACCTGTATATCAGTGCTTGACTTGTACGGTATGTCAGCTTCTACTGCTAAAGTCTCCCTGGCCATCCAGCATTTTGTTCCTGCGCTGGCTGTGCGCAAAGTCGTTTGGCCTTGGAGTAAACGTCTACTTATGCCAAAATCAGCTAATCTTGCTCTTCCGGTCACATCTGCAGGACAAATCACATAGGAAAAAAAAAAAAATCTAAATATGCATGATAATTACAAATTGAAATATTTTGCTTTTTTGAATTCAGTATATTTCTAACTTGTCTTACCGATCAAAACATTTTGTGGTTTGAGATCCCGGTGAAGAATTGGAGGATTTTGACAATGAAGCACACTTAAACTTTCGAGAACCTCCCTGACAAGTTTCTTTATCAACAGACTGTCATCAATTTTTCTGATATATTCTTCCAAGGTGTATTCACAGAGCTGAAGACAAAGATATCCAAAGTTCTCGTCCTCTGCAAAGTCAATGTATCGTACAATAAAATGATGATCCAGCTCCGGAAGTCGTAGAAGTCCTTTCTCATTCTTCAGCACTTGATAGTTGCTTTTAGACATTCTCTTGATTGCAACTTCAGTGTCGTCATCTCTCAGCCCCAAGAAGACTTCGGTACCATCACTTCCCTTTGCTATGCGGAATTCTGCATCATTTACATAAATGATGCTTTTAATTTTGGTGACTTTACTTTCATCAGTGTTCATAAGCTTCTCTAGTTTTTCCCTCCACCTCTTGCTCACTGGTGGCCATGTTGGGGTAGTGGGATTAAATTCAGATGGCTTTACATCTGTAGTTGATTCCACAACAGGAGCTGCTGCTGGATCAGTTAAAGTACTACAAACTTCATCATTTGGGTCTTCATGCTTTTCTGACTTCTCCCTTTTGTACTTTTTCCTGGCTTCAGGTGCGACTGTACCCTCGTCACATTCCACATTTCGTTTGCTGAAGTGATTTTTCAATCGTCTGAGAACTTCTTTCAGCTTGTCATTCATTTTCATTTCTGCAGATGTCAGTATGTCCTTGGGCACTGAAGTTATCCCCACTGTTGTAAAGATTTTAACAGCAGTTTTAACTATAAGCAAGTTTGCAAATATGCCATATGTGTAGACTCTAATGTCAGAGGAGTATTGATTCTTCACATAAGGAGCAACTGTGTTGCATAACTTCTCAATGAAACTGGGATCCCATTCATTCATGCCCTTTGTTTTCTGTGTTATCACATATATTGTTTGCTGAACAGCTTTCCACATGTCAGGTCTGTTTTTTGTGTCAAGGCATTCTAGTAGTTGGGGGATTATAGCTAGTGCTGGCTCATTTGGTATCTCATCCATTGTGCAGAAAACTGCATGTAAACTATCGATTGTTAACTTTACATTTGGCACAGAGATGTGTGGAAAGCGACTGATGACACTATCAATGAAGGAGTTCACATTATCAGTGTCCTTCAGCCATTCCATGCTTCTCCGGCTGTAGTTTTCTCTATCTGGCCCGTTTACATTGAAGAGCATTTCAATCATGGTCACATGGCTCTGAGGATGCTCCCGCAACATGTGACTTTCAGCAATTCTTAACACTTCTTCATATGTTTTCTCTTGAATGGCAATGTGCATATCCAGAAAAATTGATATTTTGGAGCACAGTTCATCTCTTTTCAATGCAAGGTTATGAATCATCTGAGCTATTTGTCTGTTGCAAATCTTATGGTCACTGTCTTTTACAGTTAACAATGTAACCAATGCACCAGCAGATATGAGCTCTTTCACAACATCCTCCCTGTGATTGACAACAGCAGTTTGCAGTGGTGTGAATCGCTGCGGTCCTTTAAATCCATCTGGATTAGCTTTTGCTTCAAGCAGTTTCCTGGCAAATATAGGTGGTGTTCTGACCAATGAGACATAATGCAAAGGTGTAAAGGTTTTTCGGGAAGCTGTGTTTGGGTCCGCACATTGATTTAGAAGGTAAGTGAAAATATCCCATTTGTGATTTACAACAGCAGCAATCAGAGGGGTGATAAAATCATCGCACTTTCTGCATGGGAAGGTTTCATTTATGTCACAGTCCTTCAATAATTCTTTGAGGTCCTCAAGCTTTCCATCAATTATACACTGTATTATTGGATGCGTTTCTGTGGTGAATTTATTCATTTCTGTGCTTCAGATTAACTGTGGGAAGACAAAATGATATTATTGTTACAACATATTATTATATTGTAAACTTTAGACAAACAGCCAAAAAGCTGTAATTAGAATTTGATCTCAAAGGTTCGTTACATTCACGGTTGCTTCAGACAGCTTTTAAAGTAAAGTCTATATCAAAGTTGTCTGAAAGCCACTGTATTTTATTTTGATGTGCAATTTTTCATTGCTTTGAGAAGCTTAAAGCTAGGGTAGGTAATCTATTTCAGAAACATTTTTGTTATATTTCTTTGAATTGTCTCAACATCCTGGTAGCAATGAATTAATTAAATGATCTGACAATAAACAGACAACAATCCACCCAATGTGAAAGTCACAGGACTGTAAAAAGTCCTTGTATGGAAGCCTATAGGGGAATATATTCAAATGATAATTTAATTCCACAATAGTATTTTCATTTTACATGTATGTGTTATTTGAGTAAAAAAATGTTTTAAAAATGCAATAAATCAATTAGAATTTTCATTTTCACATACTTGTATGGGCATTCTAGGACCATATTAAAATGAAATTGAAAAAGCTG